CGTGAGCCTGCGTCTCGTCCTGCGTCGCCTGTTCGTGCTACTCGTACTAGTGGTCGCAGTTCGCGTCAGCGTCCTCCTCCTGTCCCTGGCACGCATCGGATGTCTCTGCGTCCGTCCACTGCTCCTCAGCGTGCCCCTTTGCCCTCTTTTCCTGAGTCCTCTCTTCCTCACTTGCCGACCTGGAGTCGGACTCTCTTCGTGCTGCCAGTCCTACTGTCACGCGTCTCCTTGATACTGTCGTCACTGACCCCTCCTTTGAGTCCACTACTGCGTCTGCTCTTGTTGCTGAGCTCGTCGACTTTGCTGCTCGCTGTCTTCTAGACTACGCTGCTAGTCTTGTTGCTGAGTCTGCGTCTGTCTGTCCTCCGTCCGTCGGGGGTGAGTGTGCTCTTGGGATGGACGTCCTTGAGGACAGGCAGGAGGAGTTCCAGTGTCTGGCTGCTGCTTCACCTCATCTCGCATCCGTACTGCTTACCCCTGAGGGAGACCCGGATGCACTAGACATCCCAACTCCGCGCTCTTACGCGGAGGCCGTAGAGGGTCCCTACTCCTCTCAGTGGCAGGCAGCTATGGATGCAGAGATGGCTTCCTGGAAGTCCACAGGCACCTACGTTGACGCGGTTTCCCCTCCTGGGGCGAACATCGTCAGTGGCATGTGGATCTTCAGGGTGAAGCGGCCGCCGGGCTCTCCACCTGTCTTCAAGGCGCGGTACGTGGCTCGTGGCTTCAGTCAGCGGCAGGGAGTTGACTACTTTCAGACCTTCTCTCCCACCCCAAAGATGACCACTCTTCGGGTGCTGCTACACATAGCTGCTCAGCGTGACTACGAGCTTCACTCCCTTGACTTCAGCACTGCTTTCCTGCAGGGTAGCCTGCACGAGGAGATCTGGTTGCGCCATCCACCTGGCTTCACTGGGACTTTCCCTCCTGGCACCCAGTGGAGCCTCCGACGGCCAGTCTACGGTCTCCGCCAGGCACCGCGCGAGTGGCACGACACACTGAGGACTACACTTGCGGCTCTTGGGTTTGCTCCCTCTACTGCTGACCCGTCGCTGTTTCTACGCACCGACACCTCTCTGCCGCCGTTCTACATCCTCGTGTACGTCGACGACGTGGTCTTTGCCAGAGCTGACACTGCTGGACTCGCCCACGTGAAGTCCGAGCTGCAGAAGAGACACACGTGCACAGATCTGGGTGAACTGCGCAGCTACCTTGGCTTGCAGATCACCCGGGACAGAGCACGCCGCACCATTACCCTGACTCAGTCACACATGGTGCAGCAGGTCCTTCAGCGCTTCGGCTTCACGTACTCCTCGCCTTAGGCCACTCCTCTGCCTACTCGCCACTCGCTCTCAGCTCTGCCTTCGGATGAGTCCGTAGAGTCGAGTGGGCCGTACCCAGAGCTTGTTGGCTGCCTCATGTACCTGATGACCTGCACACGACCTGACCTTGCATACCCTCTTAGCATTCTTGCACGCTATGTTGCTCCTGGGAGACACATACCAGAGCACATGGCTGCAGCGAAGAGGGTGTTGCGCTACTTGTGCAGTACGTCGGGCATGGGGCTAGTGCTTGGAGGGCGGAGTCCAGTGGTCCTCACTGGGCACGCGGACGCTTCTTGGGCAGACGACCAGGCTACGCAGCGGTCGTCACAGGGTTACACCTTCAGCCTTGGTTCCGGCTCTGTTTCGTGGCGGGCTACTCGCTCGTCTTCTGTTCTCGGCTCCAGTTGTGAGGCTGAGATCTACGACGGGGCCATGGCTGCACAGGAGCTTCGCTGGCTTACCTACCTGCTGACTGACCTCGGAGAGCCGCCTCGTTCTCCTCCAGTCCTGTACGTAGACAACAAGGCCATGCTAGCCTTGTGTCGGGAGCAGCGTCTGGAGCACTGAACAAAGCACATTGCTCTCCGCTACTTTCTTACTCGTGAGCTGCAGCAGCGTGGACAGTTGCGACTTGCGTACGTGGCCTCTGAGGCCAACACTGCTGATGTTTTCACCAAGGCACTTCCGCCTTGTGATCATCAGCGCTTCTGCACTCAGCTGGGTCTTGTGCCTGTCTTGCCTCACTTGCTCACCTCTTGATCTTGCTTGTACTCTTACATATATATACCTGCTCTTGCTTGTTTAGTCCTATATATATGTGCACTCATGCATGTGAACTGGCCTTGTGGCCTTGCTCTTGTGCTCGGATTGTGTGGTGACGTTGTGATCCACCCTGAGCTTGCTTTGCTTTGCTTGACTGGTCTTGTGACCCCTTGTTCTCCCCCACTTTGCCTATGGGGGTGTGTCAAATTATAATGCTGTGTAGGCTATAGTGGGGCAGCCCATATGGGGTACACATTTCTAGGGTTGCATATTTGTATCACTTCCATTCCATAGTCATTCATTCTCGTTCTACTCTCCTCAAAGAACGCGATGTGCGCGTAGTAGTAGACGGCGGTCGTAACCATTTTTTCGATAAGTTGGACACAAAGTTTGGTGCTGGTAGCTTTTCTCTTTCAGTCACGGTTCGGCTTGTTCGCCTAGCCTCTTGGGCAGCTCGGGGTCGAGAATCCTACGGTCGAGCTTTTCTGGCCCTACTTCGGTCATCCCTCTGGCACTCTTCGGCCCCAGTTCGATCATTTCTCACTCTAGTTCCTCTTTCAGTCATAAATGGTACAGAATCAGGGAACTCTGTGCTGGTGAGTGAGGGGAGAGAGAATTACTGTAGAACCTGGTTTGGTGATTCATTCTTACTCGCGTGGCCTCGAATTACTCGAGTGGCCACCAAATTTTGTGATAATTACTCGAGTGGCCACGCCAGGGGATTCTCGCAAGCTTTTTTTCCCGACGCATTACCCTACAAGGGTTCGTATCACCGAAACATCTGTATTGATAATTGCGCGATTTTCAGTTTACGCGATAATTTATAATGGATGTTTTCGCGTGATGATTTATGTTCGAAATTTTTGCTCGTGACTCTTTATGACCGCGCCTGATTGGACGCGCATATAGTCGACCAATCATGCGCGGTCATTAATGGTCGGGCACATGTTATATTAATGCCCGATCATATATTCCCGCGATCATAAACTGCAATGCCCTGGCGTCAATGCGCGGGACATTAAATGACCGCGCATGATTGGTTGATTATATGCGCGGTGCTTTGTTTTGCAATGCGCGTCCAATCAGGCGCGGTCATATGGGGTCACGATCATAAAATTTCGGATATTGAAGATCGCGCATTAATCAGTACAGAGGTTTCAGGGATACAAACCCTTGTAGGGTAATGCGCCGTGTAAAAGAAAAACCAGAGGGAATCCCCTGGCGTGGCCACTCGAGTAAGGGTACGTTCTTGGCTGGTGTTAGGCTTCGGGTCAGCCTCCCACAAATTGACGGTTGTGTCTACGATTGCCAACGTTGTGTCTGGGTAGTAATAGCGAGTGTGAGTGCAAACTCGAAATTTGATTGGTCCACCTGGATTAGCCAGCGATTCCGGTTCAGATGCGCGATGTTGAGTGCGAAGCCTGGAATTTGCACAACTGCACATTCGTTACGACAATGTTGCGCAACGTACTTGGTGCGCTTCGACACATTTAACCAAACCCCTCACAGCTGCAATTTCATCACCACCAAACTCACGCGACCACCAACACATAAAGAACACACTCGTCTACTACTTCCCAATAAACGTAAAGTAGGTACCGTAGTCTAGTGAACGCCATGGCTCCTCCGCATGGTGTGGCGTTATTATTCGCTTTAGTCGCCCTACTAGTTATCGTCTACTATTTTGAGTGTCTCACCGTCGCCCTTAATGCTGGAGCAGAACAGTGGGTGCAATCCGTAGCAGAAAATCCACCTCCGCGAGACCGTACGGGAGCTAGGTTCAATTTCAATTCGACCGTCTTAAGGCGTATTAGAGTTCGCAAGAAAAGACGCGCGCGCGTAAAGATGTGGGCTTGTGAGATTGCCGACATGTCTGATATCGAGTTCGCGAACCTTTTCCGTATCTCACACAAGGTGCTCTGCGTAGTGGCTGAAGGTATGCGGATAGCTTACGCAAACATTGTGATGCGTCATGACATCCCTCTTGAAATCTGTTGTTTGGTTCCGATAAAATATTTCGCCACCGCAATGACGTTCCTAGACATGTCCTACTTTTCGGAATCACTAGGACCTTATGTCATGCAATAGTGGATGTCTTTTTAGTTGAGTTTCCACGCTATTTCAAGTCATCGTGGATTCGTTTTCCTACTAGAGAGGAAATGGCTGACTGGGAGAAAGAGTCCAGAGACATAAAAGGTGTTCCTAACGTGATAGGGGTTTTCGATGGCTCTCATATTCTGATTCAGGGATTGGAGGATCATAGGACAGAGTATTTTAATAGGAAACAGGCATACAGTGTGGTGCTGCAGGCGACATGTAACGCGGGTGGGGTTATTTGGGATTATTTGGTAGGTTTCCCAGGCTCTGCCCATGACTACCGTGTGTTCTTCAAGAGCGACTTGTATACTCGCATGGCAAATGGGGATCTTTCGCCTTACCAACTTGTTGGCGATGCCGCATATCCATTACGTGATTACTGCCTCACACCCCTCCATGCGACCACGGCGCGGCTAATGAAGGAATGGGAACAAGATTACAACTACGTGCAGAGTGCAACTCGGATGGCTGTTGAGCGTTCGTTTGGGCAGCTCAAGCAGCACTGGAGACTCATTAGTCGTCGTAGTGAGTGTCGTTTGTGGCGGGTTTGTGCAGGAACGGGGTGCATAATCATCTTACATAACATGCACACACTGATTGATGGCAGACGGGAGAGCTACATAGACACTGACGACCTAGACCAGAATGGGGACGTGAACAAGTGGTGGACAAGAGAAGGCATGCTGGACTACGTGTGGGAGACTACTCCCAATTCTACTTCTGAAGAGTTGCAAGAAAGGCGAAAAAGGTTCGGAAAGGCTATCCATGAGGCCTGCAACAAACATCACTACCGCTAGTGCTCGGAATCGGGCTGGGTTACTCATCGTCCTCGTTGAGGTATTCATTGGTGACATCCAGTCCATCCTCGCAGTCTTCTTCTGCAGCCACTGCCTCTTCAGCAGCGCGACCACCTGAAGGGTGACCGGTGGTGTCGTTCATGGTACTTGGGGCTTGCTGATGTCCTGGGCCTGGGGCAGGGGCGTAGTTATTCATGAACTGGCTGGCCGCTTGGTTGGCTGCTACTTGGGCGCCAAGTGCGGCAACGATGATCCTGATAAGCTCGTCGATCTTGGCAACACCAGAGGCATTGCATTGGCGCATAGTGCTAGAGATCATGGAGGCACCCTGGATGGTGGCTGTTTCATGGGCGCGCTTCCTTGGCGTGGCGTTCCCACCATGTGTTGTGTTGGTGCCTCGGGGTGCTTGGGAGGGATTGTGGCCTGTGGCTGGGCCTGCGCATTTGTGTCATGACCGCAATTCAGTAATGGATTGTCGTAATGAAATTGCTAAACCGGATTATCAAAAAGCAATGTTAATAGCAATATGTCCTTCAAAGCTCACCATTGGGGTCTTGAGTTGCAGGGAGGTCTCCAACTCGGGGTATGGTCATCGTAGGATCCGCTGTCCGCATCCCAGCTCCTCCGCCATCCACCACATGTGGGTTCACTGCTGCGGTTCCATGTTTTAGGTCGTCCATGAAAGTGAACCAGTCGGGCCTCGCCATGTTACCGGCGCCCGACATCTGGATTGCCTCACATATGTCTTCGTATTCCGCTTCCAGCCTCTTCCAACACTGCTTCATAGCCTCGCTCCTACGAATCCAGTTCGGATACGCCTTGCGCATATGCTGACGGAGTTTCTTCCAAAACTGTGCACCTTGCTTACCTTGCATCTGCTTGATATCCTCCCTGGTGTACCATCTGGCTGCAGCTAATGCAGCCATCTCTTCCATGGTCCATGGGGTGCGCTTCCGCACTTTCTGACCAGCCTTCTTGGACGATTTCTGCGCACCTCTCTTCTTGGACCCGCTAGGCGCAACGCCACCGTCACCCTCATCGTCGTCCTTCTCAACTTCCAGGTCCGTGTCTGAGTCTGACGGGGACGCCGACGATTCATCCTCCGAGCCGAAGTTGACATTTCCGACAGATGGTGCGGGCGCGGCAACACGGGACGGCCCTGGAGCTGAGGATGGCGGAATACATGCTTCACGACGAATTCGTCCATGCTCAAACCCTTCGGCCTGCTGCTGGCGCATCCAAACGATGTACGGATGATCCTGCGGAGGTTCGGGTTCCGTGTCATCGTTAACCTTGGCCTTGCCTTTCTTGCTGGAACGAGGCGCCATGGAAAGGCTGTTGGAGGTTATGCTTGTTAGGACTAGAAATTATTTAAGCTTCAAGTACCATATGTTCCCTCCTTGGCTGAGGTTTTGTACTCGAGCATTGTGGCGATGATGTTGACAATTGCAATGTTGACGAGTGCAATGTTGTGGCAGAAATCGAGGCGCGAAACCCCAACAGATTGGTTCCACACAATCGCTTGTGCGATTTTGATGCGCGTTTGCGATGTCGCAACGAGAAAACAAGTCGCGCACTCAGCAGGTTTTTGCGACATCGCAATGTGCGGACTGGTCATAAACACTTCGCGTAGTCGCACGACCTCATTTTCATTGGTGTAAACGTGCCTACGCGACTTGACGACTGTCAAGTTGGACGGATTACCATGGCGAAAAATTCGCCCACCGCTTGAATGTTGCTGACTCAAAGCCGGTCTGCTCAGCATCGTGTCAAAACTACCTATAACCCGAAGCTTGACACCAGCCAAGAACGTACCCTAATTATCACCAAATTTGGTGGTCACTCGAGTAATTCGAGGCCACGCAAGTAAGGCTGAATCACCGATCCAGGTTCTACAGTAATTCTCTCGTGAGGGGAGGGTGAGGGTGAAAAATATGACCGTTGGGGAATGCCGAGCAACGGTGTGCGAGTCAAATTCTAACCAGCCGGTATTTTCATGTTATCGCCTTGAACCGCAACGCAGACTACGAAACTGTTCGATTTCGAACTTTGCACACAGAGATTCCAGCGGTTCTGCACGGTTCTGTACGAGAACATACTATACTCAAAATTTAACCAATACACCCTATTGATTAACCAGTTTCCCAAGTCATAATGTGGCATATCATTCTTTTTTGTACCACGTAGAAGTACACGATGGGGCTGGTAATGGAAAACTAAAGTCCGCATTCAGAGATGAAGAAAGTCGTGGCTGTTTCTTTTTATCAGTGCGATTCCGCTTTACAGCTTATTGCCACCACAAGCATACCGATTTCCAACAAGTACGAACTCCTAAGTGCTCTTAGTGATCTTGCTGTGCTGTGCTGCGCCCCAATGACGAACATGATCCTCAAAATTGTACACAACTGAGCGCCACTGCTACTTCCAGCCTCCAAAAATGCTCCACACCTCTCCTCCACAGGCTCTTCTTGCAGTGACTATGATCACCAGTGTGCCCGTATGCTCATATGCTAGTAGAATGCTGCTCTATGCACTCAGCCAGAATGGATGAGTTCTTGAACGCTGCGGGGAACAGGGTTAAGGTTTAGGTTAGGGCAGAGATAGTGAGGATATATGCGAATCTTGTATTGTTCTCTGCTGGTCTGCAGTACTACTCAGCACCTACTCAGCACCTACCAGCACCTACCAGAACCTTGTTGTTTAGGGTCTCAGAATATACCCATAGCAGCATTGAGTTAAACGGTGAGGAAGGGCGAGTCTGGCTTGCACAGATGCACTGCCAACAGCAACGTCAGGGAGCTGAGCGCCTGTGGTGGAGTGATGTGATGCGATGCGATGTGATGCGATGTGATGTGAAGCGAAGCGAGAAATGTGAGGAGCTCGGGGGAGGGCAAAGTGATGCCTTGTTACACACAGTGACACAATGGATGAAGAAGTATGACGGCTTGTGGCAATAGAGAACAAACAGCTGTGCTAGAGCAAGGGCAGACCTGGCAGGGTTTGAGTCGGCAAGAACATTTGAAGCACATGTTTGCAGCGGTTCAGAACGGATCGTCCTCTTAGACGTAACAGCACAGCACAAATCTGTCAGATTTATATGACATAGTTTCTCTAGGCTATAGTGGGGTAGCACATATGGGGTACATGGTTTCTAGGGTTGTATTTTGTACCCAATCTTTCCTTAGTCATTTCATTCCTGTTTTCTTTTCTCCACATGGTATAGAGCGGGTCCTACCTTAGGACCGTTTTTTTAGGGCCCACCGAAGCGCGCCTCGAGGCGCGCCTTTTTTAGCGACCCCCTCGGGTCGCCTTTTCCCTCGCGGCCCCGCTGTCCCTCAGACGCGGCCCCGCCACCTCTCCTGATCGCGGCCCCGCCGCCTTTTTGACGCGGCCCCGCCGCCTACCCTGACGCGGCTCCGCCGCCTCCCCTGACGCGGCCCCGCCGCCTCCCCTGACGCGGCTCCGCCGCCTCTCCTGACGCGGCCCCGCCGCCTGTCTGACGCGGCCCCGCCGCCTCCCCTGACGCGGCCCTGCCGCCTCCCCTGACGCGGCTCCCCCGCCTCCCCTGACGCGGCACCGCCGCCTCCCCTGACGCGGCTCCGCCGCCTCCCCTGACGCGGCCCTGCCGCCTCCCCTGACGCGGCTCCGCCGCCTCTCCTGCCGGCCCGCCACTGCACCTGCCGGCCCGCCGCTGCACCCAGCGGCCTGCCGCCTCTGACGGCCTCGCCGCTGCACCTGCCGGCCTCGCTGCTGCACCTGCCGGCCCGCCACTGCACCCTACGGCCCGCCAATGCACCCTACGGCCCGCCGCCTGCACCTGCCGGCCCGCCGCTGCACCTGCCGGCCCGCCACTGCACCTGCCGGCCCGCCGCTGCACCTGCCGGCCCGCCACTGCACCGGTCAACCCGCCGCTGCACCTGACGGCCCCGCCCCTACATCTCCTGGCCGAGCCGCCTCAGCAGCCGAACCGCCCGTGAGCCGAGCCGCCCGACGCCGAGCCGCCCGGGACCCGAGCCGCCCTGCCGCCGAGCCGCCCGGGAGCCGAGCCGCCCTGCACCCGCGCCGCCCAGCCGCCGAGCAGCCCGGGAGCCGAGCCGCCCTGCGCCCGAGCGGCCCAGCAGCCGAGCCGCCCAGCACCCGAGCCGCCTTTCTGCATACCTACACGACCTGCCCTGCCTGGTGAGCACAGTCCCACTGACACTGCGAGCTCTTTCCCTGCTGCTTGCACTGCGTCGCTGTCGTCGCCATGGCTACCCCTAGTGTCCTAGCTTTTGACGCTGAGGGTCGCGCCATTGATTTTGAGGTCTGGTTAGACGACCTGCAGCTGTTCTTACAGTGCGACAGGGCTGACGACCTTTCTCTCTTTGATCTCACCTCTGGCGCCTCTCCTGCTCCTGCTGCTGATGCTGATCCCACTGTCCGCTCTAAGTGGGCCACCCGCGATGCTGCTGCACGTCTTGCTGTGCGTCGCCACCTCCCTACCTCTGAGCGTGCGCACTTCAGTCAGTACAAGAGTGCTCAGACCTTGTACGACGCTGTAGTTGCGCGCTACTCCTCCCCTGCCACTGCTGCACTGAGCCGTCTCATGCTTCCCTACCTCTTTCCTGACCTCTCTGCCTTTCCCACTGTCGCTGACCTCATTACGCACCTCCGCACTAGTGACACTCGCTACCGCGCCGCCCTTCCTGCTGAGTTCTGCGCTAAGAACCCCCCCCCCATGTACATCGCTCTCTACTACGTAGTCGCGCGCCTCCCTGACTCCCTTCGAGTCGTCAGGGACCACTTTCTCGCAGTCTGTCCCACCACCCTCACCGTCGACCTCCTCGAGAAGGCCCTCCTCGCAGCGGAGAAGAGCATCGTCGCTGTAGGTGCTTCTCGTGGTGACCCTCGCACCCCCATCTTTGAGGGGTGCTCTCCTTCCCCCTTGCTGCCCTCTGTTGCCTCTGCTGCTGCTGCCGACCTGCTTGGTCTTGAGTCGGTCGGCGCGGCGTCTGCCCCTAGTGGGAGACGTCGCTCTGGCAAGGGCATGGGGGGCAAGGGCGCGGGTGGAGCTGGAGGGGGCGGTGGCGGTGGCGGCGGTGGCGGCGGAGGGAGTGGGGGTGGAGGCGGGACTAGTGGCGGGGGTGGTGGTGGTGGTGGCAGCAGCGGCGGAGACGGATGGTGGTGGTGCCAGCGGTGGTGGTGGAGGCAGCGGCGGAGGTGGAGGCGGCGGAGGTGGAGGCGGTGGAGGCGGCAGCGGAGGAGGCAGTGGTGGTGGAGGGGGTGGATCTGGTCGGGGTGGTACCCAGCAGCGTAGCGGCGGTGGTGGTGGCCAGCGCTCGCAGCGGCAGCAGCAGCAGCGCTCTCGGGACATCCCTTCGCCTCAGCAGCTTCGTGAGTGGTACGCTGGGCGTCAGAGGGGTGGGGGTACTGGTCCCTACACCTACGTTCTTCGTTCCGGCGACCGCGCGGGTGAGCAGTGTGGGGGTGCCCACGCCACCCAGCGCTGCTTTGGCCGCCTGACGGACGCCTTGCGTCAGCAGTTCCCTGGGGCTAGTGAGATCCCTCGCTGGGATGAGCTTCTCAGGGCTGGTGTAGCGATCTTTGATCTTGATTTTGATGCTATCCTTACTGCTATGTATGTTGTGGATTATAGTGAGGAGAATGAGGGTTACCGCTGTTTCCAGCCCGACCCGGGCATTGGTACTGCTGCGCTAGGTGCTTGTGAGGCTGCTGCTCTAGGTGCCAGTGCGTCTGCGCTCTCAGGTACTGGTGAGACTGCGCTCTCAGGTACTGAGTCGTCCTCGTCCTCCCTCACTTTCACACTTGACTCCGGAGCTTCTCGCTCCTTCTTTCGAGACCGCACTACCCTTACGCCGCTCGGCCGGCCGGTTGCAGTCTCCCTTGCTGACCCCTCTGGGGGTCCTGTCCTGTCTCACTTCTCCACTGTCCTCCCGTGTCCGGCTGCCCCTTCGGGCACCCTGTCGGGTCTGTACCTTCCCTCGTTCTCTACGAACTTGGTGAGTGGAGCGGACCTGCAGGATGTGGGTGTTCACCAGTTCACTCCTGCGAGTCAGCGGGTGACCCACTGCACGGAGGCACGCACAGGCCGACACCTGGCCACGTTCTCGCGTCGGCCGGGGTCGAGTCTCTACACCCTGACCGTTGAGTCTCCTCCTGTCCCTGCGTCTGGTCAGGTGGCTGCGTCGGGTCAGGTACTTGCTGCTGCGTCCCGGTCAGGTCCTGAGTCTGCCCCCCTGTTCTTGTCGCCTCCTGTCTCACGAGACTCTCCTGTGGCACCACCGTCTTGGCCACCCCTCCTTGCCCCGTCTTCGGAGCATGGCTTCCC